AAAAAAAAAAAAAAAACTACAGAACGTCATTAAATTGAGATAAATTATACTTTTTCATACATCAATGTTGATGCGAAAATCTGCCAAGGTTTGGAAGACGACCTGGGAGGTCGTCCGACTATACTTGGAACTATTCCTGGGGTACCTGTAGGGAGGTAACCATTCCGACGCCCAAATTAGTAATAATTCGAGCTCAACACATAAGAGTCAAACAGATTTCACACCTGGGGTATGTGATGTGATGGTGTATTTATAGCGGTTGATGGGGTAGATAGATGTCTCATCGGGGTATTTTCCTGCTAGCGTTGGGCTCCTCGGTCCCTACCTTGGATCGGTCTGTTCTGTGCTCCCACGTTTGGGATCTAGCGTGTGGCTTTCGCTTCAAAGTAATCGAGACCAACCTTACAAGTCGGTCCTTTCGATTTCGCTCGAACAGCGCGAATGTGTGCAGTTTGACCCCCAACCATCAATAAATTAATTAAATTGAAATACACGACTCTAGCAAATTGAACTACAATAAAAGGGATATAAATACCTTCTCCCTTGAACCATAACCTTTTTTTTTCTTTTCGTCATTTGAAAAGTTTCAAATATACCTCTATCATTTTAATTTATTCTCTTCAAAATAACCCTTCAACTCTAATTGGCCAATACAAATACATAGTCTAACAACTTTCAAAATTGAATGCATGAATTTTTTTTAAGTGTAAGAATAGAATTGAAGAGGTAGGCATAGTAAAAAGATAAAAATAATTATAATTTAATTACCTCATGTAAATTGCATAATGAGAAGACTTTTGAGCATACATTGGATTCAATTTGAATCCTGAATGATGAGGTTTGATTTTAATATGGCAAGATTTTCTTGGGACATTAAATACTTTTCTTAAACCAGATGCTCTATTTATGATCTAATTGGATCATGAACCTTTTCTTTTTACATTGACTTTCAAGTTTCATTTTTATTTTTTCAAATTTCCAATACCCTGATATATATATATATATATATATATATATATATTTATTTATTTATTTTATTATTTATCTTTTAATCAAATATTTTCTTTTATCGCATCATAATTAAAGAATAGGAATTCAAAACTACAATTTGACAGAGAGAGAAAATATGTTTTAACCATTCAAATATGTATTATTTTATTTAGTAGTGATTCAATGGGCTGAATATTCTACATGTTTTGGTAACTTTCTTTTTATAAGAGGGAAAAGCACAGTTATTTTATTAATATCATCAATTTGAAGGCTAAATTAGCAAACTTTTTTTTCTTTCTGTTTAAAAATATCTCTTCATGTGGCTGTGGGCAGTGCCAATGTGACCCTCTCTTTCAATGTGAACTGAGATTTTGACAAATCTGACTCTCTCTCTTTCATGGGTGTAGGATTTAAAAAAAAAATATTTGATTATTAATTTATCATAACAAAAATATTTAGGTTTCGACATAATCAAGCTTTCACCGATTTCATAGCGTCTGCAGAACACAAGTTTGATTGAATGTTCTTTACCAAAAATCCTTTAAATTTGGACGAGCGGTTACAAAGCACAATGTCTACCGTAGAGATCATCTCTTACATCTTTAAATCGATGTTATTATTAAATTGTAGGACTTTTAAAAAATTATTTGATTATTGTTTTGTCATAAGAAAAATATATAGAATTGAAAATATCAAATACAGCTCAATATTAAAGCTTATTTAATATTTGATTATTTCAATAATGTCATTTGTTTTATAAATTCATTTGTGACGTAAATTCAAAACATTAGAGACTCATGCAAATTTATTAGCATTATGGTGTAGTTTTATTTGATGTTATAAATATATATGGCTTTAAAAAACCCGTCTTGTATAGAAACAAAATTTCAGGTTCATTGCAAATAATATTTTTTTTTATATTTTAAGAATATGTTTGGAAGGGACTAAATTTAGCTATATTTTAAAGATACGTTTGGCCATAATTCTTAAGTGTGATTTCCACTCTAATAAGAAAGTAGCTTCTTCTTTTTTTAAGGATAAGAAATTAGTTCNTTTTTTAATAGTTATTATTTTAGAATTCAAATTTATGTTTCTTTTTACTTTGATTTTTGAAATTTTTGTTTATTTTCTAAAATTTTTGTCTCTCTAAATTTATTAATCTTTAATTTTTTTAGCAAATATTAATCTTTAATTTTGTTGGTTGTTTCTATTTTTTTTTTCTAAAACTTTTGTAATAACCATATAAATTTTTAGTCCACATTTCTTTCTAAATTTATTTCTCTCTATAAAATTTATGTCTCTCACTCTCTAAAATTTCTCCCCAACATTTTTCTCTCTTTAAAAATTTTATTAAATTATCTCTTTAAATTGGAAATGTCAATCAACTTTTAATTATATGAAAATCACTCTTTGATAGGACGTGTAATTAAATGTTAAAATAATTATATACAAATTATTTTAAGAAAATCACTTATATTTTATTGTCAAACATTAGTACGTGTTTGAGAGTGATTTTGATACAAGCAAAATGATCACTTTTATCATTATGTTTGACGACAATATACAAGTGATTTTTTTAAGTACAAAAATAATTTTGACCACCCCAAATATGCTTTAAATTAATTTTGTAATAGTACAATTCTTATATTAGTAAATTATAACAAGAGGGAAAATTACAAATACTATAGCATCCCTATCACAACCATAACCATGGCACAAAATTTAAACTCTTCCTCTTAATTTTTTTTAAAAAATATTTTGAGTACTTTTTCTCTTACTTCTTACCTATGAGAGATAATAAATCAAAAAGTAATGCACATTAAAACGATTTAGAAAATGAGTATGCATTACTAAACAGAATAGGTAATTAAAAAAAATATTTAAGGTACTTTGATTTACAGATATAAATACACGTAAAGATAAGATTGTAAAAAATAAAAGATACATGTATAATGAAATTCAAATATATATATATTATTAATAATTTAATTTATTTCAATTAAACTAGTTAAGTATGTATCAACCATTAAACGATCCACCTCATATTGTTTTAAAAAAGTTATTTGATAATAATTTGAATTACAATTATGTCAATAAATGAAAATTAAAAAAAAGAAGGTGATGGGGAGGGAGGCAATGATATGGGAATCTTATAAAAATGAAAAAACGCGGTTTGTTACTCAACTTTTATTAAATTGACTTTGAATGAATTTATAGAAAAAGTAGATCTGGTCTCTCTCTCTCTCTAGTCAAAGATTTATTTTATTTATTTCAGAAAAAACAATTCTGTCGGTGGATTCCAAATTTGCTTTTCATTTTCCCTTAATTGGAAAGAAACTTCATATTTTTATTCAATGCCATAATAAAAGCTTAGGTTTGCATTTCGAGACATATGTATATTTCTTACAACCAAAGCGAAACTAGGGAACCCCAAAAAAAATAAAATCATAATAATATATATGAAAGAGCCCTTCACTTCACTTCTCTTATACGAAACAAAGTGTTTAAAAAACAAACTGAGAAGTATATGAACGTCTTATAATATATAATTTAGAAAAAAATGATGGTTTGGTCAGGGACACACCAATGGGCTATATTGGACCCAATAGACACGGCTCGTTATCCTTTCACGGCAAAGAGTGGGAGGTGTTCGCTGCTCTGTAAAGCCAGCCTCACGCTTTTCCCTCCACTTTAGAAGACCATGAAGTCACGGGCCTCCGCCCAAGCCCCATGGCTTGGCTCTTTGCTTGAAATGGGCAGGCCAGATTAAAGCCACATTCAAATCCAACCCGATCGAAGTAGAACCTCCATTCCATCACTTTAATGCCCCCACTTGGGTCACAAGCTTGCGCAACCAAGCTCGGCGATGGTTTTTGTTTCAAATGCATTAATAAATAAGAGCAACCTTCTATCTCCTTCCGATGTGGGAGAAATAGAAGCCAAAATTTATGAGAGATGTTTTGGCTATAATCTATAATTGGCACCATCTCCGCGACAAAAACGTGATGTATAAAGAAAGACAATAAATCTAATCCAAGCCAACAAAAAAATTATTGACGTGAATAACTCTCGCTCTAGCGGAATGGTTTGTCAAGGCATTAATACCCCTTGCTACAAAGTATTAAGAGAAATTTTCTCCCTTACAATTGTAATGCTACACTATATTCTATGGGAAAAGAGAATCGACCAAAAATTAGAAATAGAGGTTTTTTTTTTTTGTTTTTGTGATTTTAATTTAAGCAGTATTTTTCATCTTTATCATTATAGTTGATTAATCTAGATTTTGTACTAAATAAAAAAAAAAGATAATCAATTAACGTGTATTCTACTTTTTGCATACTTGCAACTACTCTTTTGAACTTGAACTATTATTCTTGTAATATTGAAGTTTTTGTTCTCTTTTGGCACTCTCGCCATTCATCCATAAAAGCCGTAGGGTTAAAACGTACATAATCTTCTGAGATGCACGTTTAACTCAAGATTGATAAATAAATAAATAAACATAAACTAATTCAAGTGAACTTGATTTAATTGAATCTCAAGCAAAAGCTACAAATCTCGACAAAGGAGTTGAATAAGTTCCCATGGAAATCCAAGCTTTGAACAAACCTCACATCAAATCTTTACAAATGATATAAATCCAATTGGTACCTCCCAAGGAAAATAAAAAGGCAACCCTGATGTAATTAAATGAATTCAAAACTACTTCAGATCTTCCATGGCTAATGATCCACACAAACTCCATTAGAACAGAAGGAATTTAATCCTGTTTACGCAATTACTTCTACCTTCTCTTCTTTCTTTCTACTTTTCCTTGACTCATTGCTGCCGTTTGTTTGTTGTTCAGCCTTTTTCTGTGCTCGAATCATGGCTCGTCTTACACGAGGACGCAGCTCTCTTACATTTCGAGGTGGCATGATATAGGGCTCAAGTGGGCGGTCGCCAAAAGGGTGTTCATCTCCAGCAAAAATTCTCAGTTTCCTATCTCTATCCTGCATCCATGTAATAGATCAAATAAAGCTACTGATAATATCAAATGCCTGTACAAAACCAGAGGAAAACGGGGTGGAGATTCTATCAGCAACTGAAGCTAATTCAAACGCCAAATAAAGTTAAGAACTAACATCACGCAGTTTGTTTCTTGGAAGCATGCGCAATACAGCTTTCCGAATGACTTCTGTAGGGTCTTTGGCCAACTGATCCTTCAAACTTCTTTCCTTGAGGTTGCCAACGTACCTACAAGCCACCACAGTTGAAAACAAAATATGAGATTCTGTGGACAACAAACTGTTATGAAAGCAACACAAAATTGATTTCCTGATCCCGCCTCTACTTGGCTAGAGAAACCAAGCCATTTAGTTTAAGAATTTTTTTAACAAACTTCAGATTCCATGCCAATGACCACTAATTTGAGTAAAACTTCAAAAAGATATAGTAATTACCCAGTATGCCAGTGATAAAATTTATCAGTGAGTTTTCTTCCTGTGACACAGATATCCTTAGCATTAAGCACGATGCACATATCCCCATCATCTCGATTTGGTGTATATGTTGGCTTATCCTTGCCTTGAACCACGGTAGATATTTGAGATGCCAGTCTCCCAAGAACCTAGTAGAACAAAATTACACAAGTTATATTTGTTTCTAGCAAATTGCTACCGTTGATCATATTATCTCTAAAATCTTGCATAACCAATTGATGCCAAGTGAAGAGTTGATACTACATTCTAACCTGGCCTTTTGCATCAAACACTCTCCACCTCAGACCTTCCAAATTGATGCGTCTCAAGCCAGCAAGTGCTTTCTGGAACATCGTTAATACATAACAATATTAATCTCTGGGTATATATGACAGAAGTACTTATCCCAAGAATGCCAAGGGGAGGCTATTATAATTTTTAAAAAATTAAATAAAAAGCCAAAAATACGAGAACCCTCTATCCTCCGCTACAAAAGTCTTCCTATTTCTTTCCTACTATAGTTTATACTTCCTAAGTGATAACTTTCAACCAAATTCTCCCAAAGATTTGAAAAAGAAATATGGACGAATAAAAATGATAATGAAGCTATCTATCAGACCACAGTTCCAAGTATAGAAGCAATGAACAAAAATGCTTCTTTTTTTTTACCCCAAAGCTCCACCAACAATCTATCAGTACCCAAAAAATTCTCCCATTTCTTTCCAACCGACTATTCCACCCAACAAGAAAGCAACATGGAAATGTAAACCACCTATGCGGCTATGCCCAAATCAAAGGATCAAAAACAACTTCCTCAATTATCCATGCAGTGCCACCTATGCCCAAATCAAAGGATCCAAAACAACTTCCTCAATTATCCATGCAGTGCCACCTATGCCCAAATCAAAGGATCCAAAACAACTTCCTCAATTATCCATGCAAACACTCAATCGTAGGAAAAAGCTTAGATGTACACCGCCACAAAATACAATTTTTAAGTCTTCACTTCTCCTTCTAACAAAGTATGCTTATAGAAACAAATTAAACTAACAGGAGGAATCCCTCGGAATCATCCAAATCCAGCAACCATCATGAATGACATCCCATGAAAATAACTTTGCTAAGTAGTTATTTTTCCATATAAACTTGGACATGATGGGAGGTTGAGGATGATTTCTTTGCTCGCCTAAAAAAGCAGAAAATATATATTTTGAAAAGTACCCCAAGGGATCCAGCAGCCAATTAGCCTCACTATCCCTTTCGTTATAACAGGTCTTATGAAATACAAATCCCTGGGACCAGTCTTAAGAATTTCTCTACATAGTAATTAGGAGTTATCTTTAGGAGGTGGAGAGAGACGGGGAGTCTATTTCGGAGCTCATTAGATTTAATTCCTATTTATGGGGGTTGGTTTTGAAGTTGTTTTGTAATTATCAATTAGGAGTTATTCTTTTGGATCGGAAACCATTTATTTAGGCAATTCTCCGATTATTGGGCTGGTTTTTTTGCATGTCCTTGTATATATGTTTTTTGTTTTCATTTGTCTCAATGAAAAGTTTGGTTTCTTATATTAAAAAATTAAAAATATATATATATGTAGCAAATTCCTCCAAAAATGCAAAATCCAGCAATTAGAAATATGGGCTGCTTATCATTGATGATAGCACATAACCATGGATCCTTGAAGCATAAAGGTACCAACCGCAACAAAGGATATTTGACTTTTCTTCCACCACTCCAAAGACAGAATCAGAGTCAATAAGACAAGTAACTTAAGCAATAGAAACCAAGAGCTTCTTCAGCTACTATACAATACAAACTTTTCTTCATAAATCATCCAAATCCAAGACCCATAATTGTCTTTAATAGAAACCATTGCACAGTTTCTCAATGTCCGGAATTTAAACTCTAATCAAAAGCATCCAAATTACCCCAAAAAAAAAAAAAAGTGAGTGAATAGAAGAGCTGATAAACACTAAAGCCTTTTCAAAACCAACTAGACAATAACAGACACAATCTCAAGCACAACTTAATGGCACATCCAACAGCAAAATAAATTGCCAAACTTCACAAATCTCATCAATTGATTGCACAAAAACGAAAATAAAATCCACAAGTAAATTCTACATACAATTGGCGTGCAGTAAACAGGAAGCCAATTTCTAACCTATAATGAACACAAATACGCATTACACAACCATTTCCTATAAGTAATAAACATAAGTGTTCAGGTAAAGAAACATTGCCTTCATATTGCCATTGAAAGAACTAGCTGCTTGGCTTGCCATGTCTCAATATCTTAGTTTTTTCACTGTTCCACATGCCATGTAGATATTCATCAATACATTCAATTCGTAACAATTGACATACAAAATAATTAATTCACTAGAATCTGGAATAAGGATTACAGAAAGCAAACCTCTGAAATACGACTATCCCAGAAACCAACTTGCTTTGTTTCGCAAAAAAATTAGCTCAACACATAAACTGGCGAGGGGTTTTGGGATTCTGGGCAGGCCTCGTTTGCGAGAGAGGGGGAAGAGGAAAGCGAGCTGACGGTGAGCTCCCGCTACTACGCAGGGGTTTTTTCATTTTAAGTATAATACAATAAATACAGAAGAAATTAATTAATTTTAAAAATAGGGTAATTTTTGTTCATATATATAAAATTGCTTCTTGTCAACTTAACAAGGTTGAATTCTTTTATTCTTTTATTTTTATTTTTGACAAAACATGGTTGAATTAATTAAGATGTGCACAATCATAGCTCAAGGTTAAAGAGAGGTGTAATCCGACCAACTAGAGCATTCAATGGGTATCAAACCAAACCATGAAGTTGAGAGTTTGAATCCTCGCCCCCACCAAAAAAGTATAATTGGGTGGATTATTTTCCTTCTTTTCCTCTCCTAGGGTTTCTTTTACGGAAAGGTCAAGTCTATGCCACGACAATCTAACTCAATAGCTTAGCAAAAATTGCAAAAGATGAGAAACCATTATTTTATTGGATTGAATCAACTATTAACAAATTCGAATCTACGAGTTTTTGAATCGATTTGATTTCTTACCTCCTTAATTAAGACATATAATCGAACAAAATATTGAAGATTTGAATTGTCACGTCCATAAAAAAAACTTACATCTCTAATTAAGACATATATAATCCAACAAAATATTAAAGGTATGAATTCTTCCCTCTCTTGGTTGAATTGAACAAAAGAAACAATTATCATTTCTAAAGATCAAAAACTATCAGTTGAAGGTTACTCTTATATTCTAATAAAAGAAACATATTAATAAAAAATTTAAAAACCATAATTAGTTCACCATTCAAAACACTGAAAAATACAAACATTAAAATATTCAAATTCGTAGATTAAAATGCGTCTTCAAACTTTAAGAACTCGATTTCCTTTAAAACTGAGATATGGCTGCTGATCATCAGCCTTCAAATCAAAACCATAGTGGAGAGAATTAAACGACTCCTCGTATAGATTTCACATTTTCTCCCCATAATTTCATTTATTTGAAATTTTGTATGGACGGTAACATACTACGATTACTACAGTTGGTCCAAAATGATGATCCTAAGAGGAAATCAAGACCAAAGAGATGGATTTATCAAGGACTCCAGGCCAAGAACACAGATTCGCAAGGCATTCTCTCTTCCATATCCACACTTCAAAACCGATGGAGTTCGCAGTTAAGAATTGGCAAATCAACCACTTGGACCTTCTTTCAAGCAAAACCCAATGCTAGAATTCCGATCATCCCGAGACGCGGTATCTCTTGCTTCAGATGAGGCATTGCAAGAAAATTTCTTAGTACTGCCACGCATCTCACAAGTCATAACAGCTTCCAATATATTACCTCCTTTCTTATAGAAAGTCAGTTGTTGGAAAGCAACTTATTCACTTTCTTTTTTACTGCCTTGACGAAGTCGCTCTCCGATAATGTTAACAACTGGTTCAGTAACAGCGTCACCTGGCTCTCCTTCATAATTGCATACCTTGGTTTGATTCTTCCCTCCAAACTGTAACCAAAATATTGAGGGAATTTGACTAGCTCTGATTTTGAGTACTCCATGGTCAGGAAGAATTCCCACTTTGGCACTACATTCTCAGCCAAGCTGAAAGTATACAAGGCTCCATATCTTGAGATCATTGTCCCAACATCCTCCATACTGTAACCCCTCTCCAAAAAAAATTGTGTCACTGGTTTCAAATTAGCCTCGATACTAAGACCAAACGTCTGTGGCGATCGATAGAGAAGGACAGCAACATCAACTCCCAGTGAAAGAAAATATTCAGCAGTGGGCCTTAATTTTTCCTCGACACTGTAACTTATGATGTTTGGGCAACGAGTCAATACCTTACCTACACTCTCCTCCGAGAGTCCCATTTCGTAGAGGAAATGGATAGTTGCTTCAACCTTCTGTTTGCTGTAGGTGAGAAGCGCTGGAAATCGGTATATCACTTTTGCCCATTGTGTCTTGTCCACACCCAAATTTTCTAAGAATATCATAGTTGGCTTTAGATTTTCAGACAGACTAATTCCACATAGCTGAGGCCTCTTGTTGAGGATGACAGGGATATCAGATTTTGGTACCCCAAGATCAAGAAGAAACTCAATCACGGGCTTTATTTTCCCTTCCAAGCTGTAGTAAGCAAAAGCTGGGAATCTGCGAGTAATTTCTTTAATTTGCTCAAGATTTAAGCCATGCTCAATCAGGTAAAGAATCTGAGGCCGGAGCTTTCCAGTAGGACCTATTTCGCTAACTCGAGATACGGCTTTCAGCTTCTTCACATCAATTGTTGAATTCAAGACAGAGACTGTTGTAGTGGTCTTTTCTTTAATAGGAGCGTTTGGAAAGTTCTCCACAGCATGCACGAGAAGGGTTCCATGCACTTCAAGAAGGGATTCAAGATAAGGATTCAGAGCATCTCTAATCTCAAGTGTTGTCAACTCTCGCCCTGCATAATCATATAAACTTGATTATAATTCCTAGTGATGCCATTCTATCCAACTGAAACAATTTCTCTTTGACTAGAGAGATAAGAAATACATTGAAGTCGAACCTACTAGATACCGAGATTTATGAATCAAATGAAGCTTCAAGACAAGATGATCGATGAAGAGATCAGACTTGTTTATCGTTCTTGCAGCAATTGCATTGCTCATGCCTTGTTTCTTCAAGAACAAGGTTAAAACTGCCTTGGCCTCTTCTTTTTCTGCTGTTAGAAGGGCTGGAGATACAACCTTTAAGTTGACTGGTCCATCTGTCTCAGAATCTGTGACATTAGATAATCAAAAACATAGTAGTTAGCATGGTTAAGAGACCACAAAACTCTATCAAGAGATTAAAACCACTACATCAAGTCAATGAAAACATCAATGGAATCTAAAACTGAAGCACTGACCAAATTTTGCTCGGAGAGAAAATAGTTTCCTTGGGAATGAAAGCTGAACCCTGTGTAAATCAAAATTTATGAATGACCCATTGATAACCATCAGGAAAAATAAAATTATACAATTCTGTTAAGAGTGCCAACGCCAAAGGTACCTTTTAGTAGTGATGAGAATACCATTTGGCATAAAGAGGAAATGGGGGAAACGTATACCAATGACAGCTCTCATCTTCRAGCTGTAGCGCAAATAGTTCCCCTTCTTGAGTGATTAATGAGTACCAACACTCGGGCAAGGCTGCGATAGGAGGTCCAAAAATTGGGCCCTCCACAGAATTGAATATGGTCGTCTGTCACTTAAGTTATCAGCCGCAGAACTATGAACCAAAAGGAAAGAAAATGCATTTACAAAACCCTCCAAAAAAAAAAGTGAAAAACTAAGCCCAGAACAACAAAAGTAAGAACCAAATGATGTTGCCAGGCCATTGTTTAAGGTTCTGCCAGCCCAGTACAATAAAATGGGTAGATATCCTTAATTTTTGGATTTTGACTATTTCGGACTTCTGGGTAATACTTAGAGCAAGTCTTATTCTGCTAGTCTCTACTTCCCGAGTGGGTTTGAAAATTCGTGAGAAATAAGTAAAAGCTTATCAACTAGTTGCATATTAGAAGAAGAGAAAGAGAAGGGATGGATGGCGCTTACCAAAATTGAAGTTCTGCGGATGTTGAGAGCCGAAGAATGGTCGGAAGGAATTGGGTCGGAGATTCGAAAGAGAGACTGAGAGAATGCATAAGAATGGTTGAAAAAGAGAAGAGCAAACAACTCGGAAGAGATAGGAGAAGAGAGACTGAAAGAGACATAGGTAAAATAATGCCCTAAAATCTAAATTATGTGCCACAGGAGACAGGTGTCTGATGTCGAGAGTGACAAGTCAGATGGTTGGATAATAAAATAAAGGATTAGGTTACAATTTTTTTTTTTTTGGCCAAATTACATCTTACCCGCTAAAGTTTGGATTTAATTTCGATTTCAAATTTGATATTTTTTATCTTTGAGGTCTAGATTTTATTTTTATTGATCACCTAAGTTTCTGATTAGACACTATGGTCATTTAATTTAGATTTTGTTTCTGTGTATGGGTGGAATGGACCATTTGTGAACTTAACGGAGATCAACTTTTTTTATGAACTTTCAAGTATGGTGTCCATACTATTCTGACTACATGGGACAAATCAAATTCTAGTTATAAAAAAATTCGAAAAGTTATAATATCTTAAGTAAGTGGTCACTAAAACATTTGAACAATCTTTTCAAAGCCCTTCAACTTTTTACCTACCAAAGTTGTGTTTGTAATTAATTTCTAATTTTTTAATTTTAATTCTGGTACGTTTTTGTGGCAAAATAAACTTTTGATCGTTGAAGTTTAAATTTAATATCTATTTAGTTCCTAAAATTTTAAAATTGACATTTTTATTTTTGGTGTTTTAGAAATGATTCTAAAGAATTAAGGGAGTGAAACCTATGATTATGTGGCAAAAATATATTAATTTGATGTATTTTTATTGACTTGTGGAGTGGCAAATAAGGTGTAATTGTTCCTCCAATTTCCCTCTTTCTCTCCTCCTTCCTCCCTCTCCATCTCCATCTCCATCTCCAGCAAACCATCACTGCCTCCCCTCATCACAGCTCGTGGTCGCAGCCCATCGCCACCACGTGTCTTTCCGTTGTCGCTGCGATTTGGAATGAAGATGACGTTTTAGATCCGGGATGAAAAGGTACTATCTCCTATGCAGAAAAAGAGGGAGAGGGGAGAAAGAAGATTCCACTTCTTTTGCCACCTTAGATACTAATAACAAAACATAAAATTAATCGTAGTATAATAAGTAGATAATGGTCGCATCATCTATTTTTCTGTTAGTTCACCAACGGTCAATGAATTTCTTATAGCATTAAAATTGTTTTTAGATGGTCATTTAAAATTATTTTAAAAAAATCTAAAGGTACTCCTTCAAAACTTTGACTAAATAAACGTAGGATCAAAAACTTATTTTTCCAGAAAGGAAAATCACCCCATTAAACTTAATCGTTGAAGAGATTATTAATTTGTAGTAAGAAAAGAAAAATTGATCAATAATTTATCATTTGCAAGACATGACATGAAGAAAGTAGGCAAACTATGGGTGGATGGAGTGAGTGGCTCCATTATTATGGTGTCCACTAGCCGCCGCACTCTCCAGGCCCGATTGGGAGCCGCCGATTGATAGTCGTTCTCCATTAATCTCACTYTACAATCTCTAGATCCCTGCTTAATCTTTTAATTGTTTGTTCTTGAGTGGATGTGGACGACACTAAACAATAAACAAGCCCCGATGTTTGAAAATGTCAACTTCATCCCCTTTCTCTACGGTCAATGCTCCGTCGCAATTGTAGAAACAATGACAGCACTGAGAAATGGGAATTTTCAATTTAACGCGCTGTTTAATCTTCCTCTGCAGCCAATTTTGACCTCTTCCCCAAATATTAGTATAGCCTCCAGTTCCCCCAAAACGAGAATTTCTCCAATTTCTCCTCCTTCCACCCGAATGGGTTCCTTCCACTTCCATTTCTTCATCGCCTCCTTGTTCTGTTTCTTCTCCTCCATCGTTTCTCAGCAGCCGTACGTGGGATCGACCACCGAAGACTGTAACAACCCCCACAATTCCACTGGTAACTTGGGTTACTTCTGCAACACCCCCAATCGGACTTGCCAATCTTTCCTCACCTTCAGGTCGCGCCTTACCTTTAACTCTGTTTCCACAATCTCTGCTCTGTTGGGCTCCGACCCCTCGGAGCTCTCTCGGGTCAACTCCGTCGCCGCGTCGGCCACTTTCCCGACGGAGAAGTTGGTGCTTGTCCCCGTCGATTGTTCCTGTTCCGGTCAGTTTCTTCAGGCAAATGTTTCTTTTACTACCCGATTTGGGGATACTTATCTCTCGATTGCACGTGATTCCCTCCAAGGTCTCTCCACCTGCCAATCCCTTATAGCTCAGAACCCCAATCTTAATGCCACGAGTATTAATGGCGGGGAGAGGATTGTTGTTCCTCTTAGATGCGCTTGCCCCACCAAGAACCAAACTGATATGGGTTTCAATTATCTTTTGAGTTACTTAGTTGTATCCGGCGATACTGTTGAGGAAATCACTGCGAGATTTGAATCATTTGGTGCGGATATTGGTTCTGTACTTGAAGCCAACGAACTTCAAGAACAATCCGTAATTATCCCTTCTACTACTCTTTTGATTCCCCTTAAAAGTGAGCCGTCGGCCACTGGAATGAGAGAGCCCGCCTCGCCCCCACCGCCACCTCCGCCTCCATCTCCGGCCACTCCACCGCCTCCGGCCCCTAATAGAACATGGGTATATGCCCTTGTGGCCGTTGTAGGAGGAGTTGTTTTGGCAGCTGCAATTGGAACTGTGGTGTTCTTTGTGTGTGTGAGGAAAAGGAAGAAGAAAACTAAGCATTCGACTACTGAAGTTGAAAGCTTTGAGTCATATGAGAAGCCGTCGGAGAAGAAAGTGGATGGGGAGTCTTCTTCCATCACCTTGGAGAGTATTTATAGTGTTGCTCAATCTGTCAAAGTTTACACCTTTGAAGAGCTGCGGGATGCAACTGATAATTTCAGTTCAGCCCATCTGATCAAAGGGTCCGTATATCATGGCACAATCAATGGGGATTCTGCAGCTATTAAGAAGATGAATGGAGATGTTTCGAAACAGATCGCCTTACTCAACAAGGCGAACCATTCGAATCTGATTCGCCTTTCGGGTGTTTGTTTCGATGAAGGGCATTGGTATCTTGTTTTTGAGTATGCTGCCAATGGTCCCTTGAGTGACTGGATTGATTCAAATAGTAGTAGGGATGGCAAGTTTTTGAGTTGGACGCAGAGGATACAGATTGCGGTGGACGTCGCAACGGGGCTCAATTATCTCCATAGCTTCACAAATCCACCTCATGTTCACAAGGATTTGAAGATTGATAATGTACTTCTTGATAGTGAGTTCAGGGGCAAGATATCGAACTTCAGTCTGGCAAGATCGGCGGGATGGGAAGAAGGCGATTTTACATTGACAATGCACATTGTTGGAACAAGAGGTTATATGGCTCCGGAATATCTCGAAAATGGTCTTGTTTCCACAAAGCTTGATGTCTATTCATTTGGGATTCTGATTATCGAAATGCTCACCGGGAAGGAGGTTTCAGAGTTGTACCGAAAGGAGAATTTGCAGTTGCCTGAACTTCTTAAGAAAGTGCTTGACGAGAAAGATGGCAAGGATTATTTAATCCACCTGATGGATCCCTCGTTGGAAGGTAAATATCCCAATGAACTTGCCGTTTTTGTGATGAATATTGTCGATAGGTGCTTAAACAAGGACCCGTCTCAACGCCCATCCATGGATGAGATTGTTCAATCCCTCTGTAGAATTTTGAGCAGTTCTTTATCATGGGAATTGTCAAACACCTCTGTATGACAAACCCAAACTCATAACAGAGCTCATCAGAAATTCTGCTCATGTCTGATCAGAGCTGTTCTTTTAAGTATAAGATCTTACAGTTACAGTTCCAACCTTGTAAATCCTGTCTGATTCTTCTAGCTGCCTCATTTTTGTATGCAAAGTTGTAATAATGTTCAAAAACATACATCACATTTCTTACACATATTCAGTCTCTTTATATATGAAAAATAAATCACTTCTCTTCGTGTCGACGTATAATGAACCACGTAACTTATCAAGTCGTCTCATTAACTTTTACATGATATCATGTTAGTTTCATTAACCGAATCCCCAAGGGCAGTCCAGTTGGCAAGGACTTGAGGTCTCTTGGTCATACCGACTTAGAGGTCTCAAGTTTGAATCATCTGGTGAGCTTAATACCAAAAATCTTAAATGTCTCTCAGGTCCGGACCTTAGGAAAGCAAAGCTCCGACTCCGAATTCTGRAAAAAAAATGTTAGTTTTATTTAACCGAATAAATGAGCACCAAGAGAGTAAACGGGGAAAGAGTATAAACTCACATTATAATAGCTTCCATTGCTGCTGACTGAAAAATCCTTGAGCTTCATAATGATATTCATGGCTGGCTGCAACTTCTCTCAACTTGAGACTTGACTCTTGAGATTGCCAGAAGATTTGTGAATCTTTCATCTGAGTGACTTGTATCTAACGAGAGCTTTAGACTTAAAAAGGACTTGTTTGAGTTGAACATGTGTTATGTATATTAGACCAATGTTGGTTACTTCGTTATAATATAATACAATAAAAAGGAGTAGATTCTATGCAAAACAAAACGATAGGTGCCACATATCGAATTTATTTTATAGATCAAAATCATGTCACAAATCAAGTTTCTAATAAATAGATACAAAAAGCATAATTCATTTTCTCATCTTCATCTCCATGGGCTTATGATCAAAAACTCGACAAATAGAACGATTAATGAGCAACTATTATTCTTTCTATTACATGTTTCACTTTTTCACCAACGTTGTACAATACAATCCTAATCCATAATGTTGTTTTTCCTATGACATCGAAGTTCAAACTGGTAAGGTTCGAGTGAGTTTGATGTGATCGAGAGTTGCCTTTAAACCAAAGCGGAAAACTGCCTCGCGTGCCTTCCTGAACCCATCTCCATAGGCTGGTGAAGAATCCTGTTCGATTAGGCATATGAAACATTCTCCAAGTTTCATCTCTGTTTCACTCAGCAGCTCATGTTTGTTAGCAGCCATGGCAGCTCGAGATCCCAATTCCATCTTGGATTTCAGCCACTTGTGAGCTATCACTTGGCAAATGCCTTCTTCAATTTCTGGTTCTAAATTGGGATAACCTTGAAGTCTAAGCCATGCATGCATCATCTCATGTGCTATAATGGATCCTGTCAACAACCTGTGTAAACCAAAAAATTGTGTGTAATGTGAAAATGAAGCTGCAAATCATGACTATGTTGAGATATCGTCATCTCTATTAATATGCGGCGTATTAAGTAGAAACCATAAGTAAAACCATGTGCACTTAAGTTCAAAATGAACAATATTATATCCTTGAGGAGGCATGTAAAGCTTCTTGTCCTAAACATATGGTATTAGGTATTAGAGCTGTGTCCTAGACTTACCGTGTGGACGAAATATAACTCTCGTGTAAATGATCATTATTTGAAGGAAGACTCGATGATCCTTTGTTTATGGGGAAGATTGTTAAGGATGTGAACATAGCACATCAGTTAAAAGTACAAGTAGAAAAAAAAATCTTGGATTGGTACAATCTCTTTTGAGTAGAAATCAAAAGCTAAATCACATAGGCTTAAGTTGAATAGCGAACAATATCATACTACTATGGAGAGACATAAGAAAGTTTGTTGTCCGGACATACTAGACCCGAAAACTTAAAATTAACAAGTTCTAGTAAGTGTACTATTAATTAACATGAGAACAAAGGTTTATTGTGAACAAATATGGTACCTGGGAAGGCCATATAGAATGAATATAGCAGTAACTTCACAACTACGAGCTAGCTTGAGTGGCTGTGTGGGCATGTCAAGTGTTGAATGGCCCCTGTCAATAGGTTTCCTCCTACGAATCTACCAACCATGTCCAAACCAATTCGATTCAGTCAAATTCAAAAACTATTCTAATAAAACACTCATATATATATTGTTGGAGTTGAATCTAGCCAAAGAGATCGAATTTCTTACAACACGAATGATCTGCTCTTCTGACAAGCAGAGCCCTCGAGTTTCAGACAGATGGTGGTGCCCCTGCATGATCCAAAGAAATGAGTACCAAAATGATAAGACAAAAAACATTCAGTGAAGAACCAAAAGAAGAACCTGTCCTCACATTCTTCTCCCCTTCCAAGGCTTCGTTCAATGCTTCCCTTTCGACTAACACCAACGGAATTTTCTGGTCAAATTTCATGTGTAACCTTGCAAAGAATTCTTGTATCTCATCGAAAAGTGGTTGGCACTTATTGATGTCCATGATCCTGAAGCTAAAACACTCTGGACAAAATCTTCTCCCATCTTTGAGTGAATTGTACTTGCACCCCTTTGGCTGTATGCAGAAGTAAGCTCACAAATATAATTGTGGAGGAGAGAGAGAGAGAGAGAGAGAGAGAGAGAGAGAGAGAGGCTTACCTGTAATTTTTCACAGCTATAACATTTGGAAGTTCCATCATTTTCATGGGAAGGACAGTACTTTTGTTCCCAAAAAGGGTGCTCTCTATATTCAATCCCATCATGAGTATATGGGATCTAACATCATCAACAACACAAGGGAAAAAGAAAAAACAGGAGAAAATCATGAGAAAAGTATTGAAATTATGATATTGTCGACTTTATACTTAATCCTACGTAATTATATTTGTGGAGTACTATGCTCAAAGTGCTTCGTACCCAGGGGCCGAGCTAAGAAGAAAGGTTACCCCTCTTAGTCTGTTGTAATTCAAAAATTATAATAAAATACTCCTCTAATTTGTAGAACACAAAGGTTATATATACAAAAAAGTTGGCATGTATAGAATTCTTAAAGACCTTGTTTCTAACCAATACGGTACTAAGTTCGATTCTCATGTTAAAAACTTCACGAACATTAAAGATGAATTTACTTACAAAGTTGTTGCAAACATAGCATTTGGGATATCTCATTTTCCTATGGCAAGTTCTGTGGTACTGGCGATTTTCAGACAGGATGAACTGTTGTAAATCAGACATACAATCATCAAATCAATTTAAGGATACATAATTATTAGGATTCCATAAGTTTATCAAAGTCCAAATCACAATTCCACCCTCCTCTAAAGTCAACCTCATCATCTCTGATAAGCTGTTTGCAGGCATGGCAAATGAGACATTCTGGATGCCAAACAATACCATTGCAATGTAAAACACGTTGGCCTATCCTTATCTCAGTGTTGCATCCAGCACAGATCCTACATAAACATGTTATGTCAAAAAGGAACCACTCATTCAGATATTAATACGAGATCTAAACATGTGAAGCGTTAATAATAAATGAAGATAGAGAAAATGACTATGCAAAAGTTGAAACTCGAGACATTGACGTATCAGAACAAAGAAAAGTTATATTTACTTGGATGCAGAGGCATCAGATTTAGAAGAATCATGTGGACTGCCATCTGTAAGAGAAGACATCATGACTAAGCTCAGCTGAATTGCATTGGCAAGTTGCTCATCTTCTTCAACTTGGGCTCGTATGGTTTTCTTGTTCACTCTCTCTAAAATTAAACATTATTCATCTAAACTTGAGCAAAATTGAATCTAATTTATGCATCAAAACTTTAATATGTAATATTAGAACTAACCAATAATCAACTTTTGTTGTTCCATTTCTTTGAGTGACTTTGCCATAACATAATCAACTTGCCCTTGTTCATATTCTGCTATGCCATCCTGCAGTTTAATAATTCATCAGACCTAACAAAACTAACCGCCATGTTTCAACTGAACATCATTTTTGGCTTTCAAAAAGTGCCTCTCTATTGCAACAAAAATCATGATTAAAACCGATGATTTTCTAAATGAGGACCATTTCAATAAAACCATCTCTCTAAAACATGATTTTGTGTTTTTGGCTTTCTGTTTTTTACAATTTTAGCTTATAAACAACTTCCACTAATGTGTTTCATTTACTTTTCAAAGAAGTTTTCTAAATCTTTGCCAAAATTTAAAAACTAAAGAAACCAAAAGAAACTAGCCATAATTTTAAAAAACGGAAAACTAAAAAATGAAATTGTTATCAAGCGGGCCCAAGTTGTTTGTTTTCTTTACAACAAAAAGAGATGGATTATGCAAAGTCGTGTCTAAAAAATAGACAAGTTTGTCTGTCCTTTGCAGAAAGACGATTTTAAATATTAATGTTCTACGAGAATCGTTATGTTTTGAAGCCAGATGAAATGATAGAAAAAGAAAGTATATATATATAAAGTGCTGGTTAATTTTACTGTTGAATAATGAAGCAGGTTCAGAATGGAGGTGTCTTCAATTCCATATCTGGCATGATTCCATCCTAAGATCCTACCTACATGGCTTGCCCTCTCCATGGTGTAAAAATTAAATCAACCTGCAACAGTTCATTATTTTATTTATACTGAAGTCAAATCACCAAATGAGGATCCAATTGCATTTTAAAATAGTACTCAGACAAATTTCATCTAGAAGTAAGAATCAGAATACCTTTGGAAATTGATGAATCAAGCATATTTAAACACAAAACCAAACAAAAAAATTACCCACATCCATTTCACAATCTATTATGTTATTTGCCCTAATTTCCCTCTTAAAACTCAATATCTCAATATCTCCTCTTAAATTAGTAACACCAAAATTGATGCACAACAAAAAGAGCAGCCCTGATTATTTTCTTTTTAATATTGTCCCTTCAGGCTATTGTAAGAGTTTCTAAGACTATCAAAATTGCATATATAAAGAAACAAGCAATACATAATGAACACATCAAATCCAATACCACCCACTTTCCCAAAGAGCCAGGGCAAACCAAGAAGAAACCAAAAAAATTGCCACGAGGCGATGCTTTTGCTCATTTTCTACTTGCCCAGTTAATCTTCAACATGAGATTCGTCTTAAAATAAGGAGCTTTAAAATCTTAAGGTAAAAAAACATACCTTGTTTTGTTGAGACAAAGAGGGATCCTGTGATACAGTAATGAAGTTCAAAAGAAGCTGTTTTCAGTCAGAAATGGAGGAGGGGGAAGAAAGAGGGAGTGAACAGAGAGATAGAGAGGGGTTGAAAAATCTCAAAGGTACAGATTGGATAAGTTTGATCAAAATAGCATTCATAAAGATGTGAAGTAAAAAGCATGCAGAGGGAGAGAGAGAGTAATAAATCCTTTTTCTCAGGAAGAGAGACTGTTCATGGAATTAGAAGTAGCATGTTGAAAAGCTAGTTGCCGGTGGGGTATGTTGTTTGTCTGTTTGTTTTTTGTTTTTCAAGAGGAAAAGAAAAATGGAAAGCAGGTCATAAATTAAGATCTCCAAAAGTTGAATTTTCAATGGTGCGCTTTGGTGTGAGAACAATGATTCATAGTTATGAAGGTTAGTGGATGATGATACCTACTTTGCCTAGGAATATATATGGCTTTGGAAAGTTGTTTTATTTGTGGACCAACCAAATCAACTAGGCAATAATTTTGTTTGCAGTATCTTTCTTCTAATTACAAAATTCATTGGTGAGTTAGGAGAATATAATCATTTGGTATACAAGTACAACTAGTGGCTTTATCCAGTGATTTACCAATAATTCCAATAGTTTAGAAAAGTATGATTTTGAGTATGACAAGGTCATTTAATGTATTCTACGAACTTTGTCTCGAATATTACAATTGTGTAATCAACAGGGACTTTGTCATATATTCCAATGTGCATTTTAAGAATTTGTGTGCATTTAGGCTATTTGTTAGTATATAATGACAGCGTTACAAAATTGAGGGGACTCGATCTACTGTAGATTTACTCCTGAATATAATCAATGTGTTCATCGGTATACATTATTTTAGATACAATCGAAACATGCAAGCTTATATCAAACTTCATGGAGATTGTGTAGGTTTTAGTTGTAATTTACTATAATTTTGTAATGATGTGAAAGATGGTACTTTTGAACCTTTGATGCCGTTTTCATGTTTGGTCAAGTTTGATGGTCGGCTATGGAAAAGGACACTTGTGAAAATTACACAACGTTTGTTGGTTGGGGGGTCCATAAAGCCCAATTTGTTGGACAACACGAAGCCCAATTGAACTACAAAAGTTAACCCATAAGGCCCAATTGGCAAAACAAAGGCTGGCCCATTAAGCAGGCCACGTAAGAATCAAGACCACGCAAATGCAGTGTAGCGATGGAGTTAAAATTACTTAAAATCCTGCCGAATAAAATTTTAGAAAAATCAATTCACTATATGAAAATTAAAAGATTCGAAAATCAAAAAAAAATAAAACAAAATCTTGTTTTTATCTGAAACGTTTATTATTCGAGTGTTTTTCATAAAGACAAATTCAAAGCTTTTTCTTTTCCTCCTTTTTTTTTTTTTAAAGCTATTTCTTTGGATTTTTTTGTTTAAACTTAGAAGACTGTTAACTATTTCTGCTCTAGTAGTGATGAGTGTGAATGATGAAGCCG